CCCCAAAACCCCAAAACCCCAAAACCCCATAAAGCAATTATCGAATTCGCAGGATATCATGAAATTTATTACTTAAAATATAAGTATATGAATATTTTTATAATAAGTTAAGTCTTACTATTATCTTAGCAGGGTATGCTTATAACTGCCAAGATTTTATTAAAATTTGATATTATCAATATTCAAAGCGTAAACACATTTAGCATTAAAAATTTCATGCCTATAATTTCGCAACACTCACATGCACTTCCAATCAAATTCCAATCAGCTTCGATGCCTAGAGAAGCAGATGGTGTAAATAGATTCACAGCCTATAGATGTTAGCTACATACAGATGATAGATCCATTCATGGAAACAAAATAAATAGTTGGTGAATTAAGGTTCTAAATTAATGAGATAGAGAAATTTTAAATTGAGCTAAACATTAATATTAACGATGTTCAAAGTTATTAACTCAGATTATACTGCATGCTATGGAATTAAAATCGCCAGAGATTTGAGATTAAATGGCCAAGAAAACAAATCAAATTGAAAATTGATGATTAATTACAATATGTTAGAGCTGAGGGCTTGCCTGTTCAGTACAGTTTAGATAAAAAGGGCACTAATGGTATATAACCTATTTTCACTTGCTAAAGTATACTAATTGACTTAGAGGTGATAGAAAAAGATTTGAAATCAACATGTTAGTATTGAATGGTAATTGCAAAAGTGAAAAGTATCAACTTTAAGCAAAAATCATTAAGTAAATCTTTGCAAGCCTTAAACTATAAAGAGTATACTGAAATATAAGAAGAGGTGTTTAATCTTTAAGACTCGAATACCTTGATTAAAATTGATGTGCCAATAAAGGGAGTATAATGCTAGCATCTTTAATGCTTTGATTTTGAGTAATACCTGAAGATTAATATGCTTTAATCGTTATAATGGTTATGCCCAATTTGTAGAAAAATAACCCTTTTCACTGATTTGAGATTAGATAATAAACTTTATGAGTTTCTCAAACTTAACTCGAGTTTGACAAGACATGATAAAATATTATATAGTTTGAAAGACTAGCATGTAATTATCACTAAATTTAGTTAAAACCATTACGATTAATTGAAGTCTAGTAAAACTCGAAAAAAGTGCCCTGATATTCTAACTAATATTAGCAATTAGCTGAGAGATGCAGCAAATTAAGACAGGAGTATGATGATAACAAAAATGTTTAATGAAAGTAAGAAAGAATAAATTGTATAGATAATAAAAGGATGCAAAGAGGACAGAAGCTTTATGAGGTCACTAGAGCTGGGTCATTAGGAAGAGTTAGCAAACCTATTTGAAGAGATATCAAAGCTTGAGTTGAGTCAATATATAGATTTCTTAAATAGTATTTATGATACTACTTTAGAGCTAATACCACTTGACGTTCCAATTTAAAAGACTAAAGATGGACCTACCAAGGAACCACTGTTAGAAAGATGTAAGGAGTTGTACAAATATTACAAGATAGTATTCATTCCTCTAATGTTCTGGTCATAGATATCAGAGCGAAATGTGATTAAGGCTCTAAACTCACTGAAATTCATTCATAAGATTTCCAAATCACTTCCTCATCCAATACTTATGGCTTCAACCTACTTTATATATAAGTTTGTTCACAAGAAGGATATAATATTTGAGTTCGTGTATGGCAAACTGTTTGGCTATCACATCAAGCAAGCCAATTATGTCGAGTAAAGTCTGAGATTCACATAATTCATAGAGAATATGCTCTCAGACTTTCCGCATTTACATCTGCCAACTGTTACTTTTCAGACTAAAGCTGAGTAATCTTCATATTATAAGAGACTGACCAGCTTTTATATCGGTTTCTTCAGTTGGTTCAATATAGTCTTTATAGCTAACAAGTTCAGATAGGTCTTTGCTCCTCCGAATAAACTAGACATTGCCACACTTGAAGAAAAAGCTTGCTTAAACCTATTTGTTAAGCAAGTGCTATTTAGAATAATCAAAGGACTTAAGTTGAGTTTAAGTGAAGTGTAAAAGTTTTACGAGATTTGGGATACTTTCGGGGCTATATTAAAGATGAATAAAGGATATAAGTATGGAGAGGTTGGAGATCAAGTAGCTAGATTCAAGCAAATGCTTAGTTTAAAGAGATAACAGGAGATTGTTAAAAGTGCAAAAGTCAAGTGACA